GTATTTTCAAACACCAATCCCAGTATTTTCTCATATATGTACATATGTAGGTATATTTATATTCACCATGTAAAATAAGATCCAAGTTTATGTGTGTATTACAACCCTTCAACTGATGAGCAGACAAATGATCTGGATTGACACTGAGTAAACATATCTATATAAATAACAGTAATTTTAGTAGCACAATGAAAATCCTACCTCGATATGAGTCAATTTTGCTAAAAACAGATATATGTATCAAAAAGTTTCTTTTTCTTTTAACACTAGAGCTACCGATCTTTAGTGGGCACCTAACTATAACGTGCTCAGATTATAGTCATTTCAGGCGGTACGATGAATATGAGTGAATATATTGATTACAGTTCTTTCTTAATACGAGGTGCCACCAATTTTATTCTTAAAGCAGGTGTATGTGTTCGGTGATTGCAAAAAGGAAAATTCTGGGACCAGTCATTTTCACTGGGTTGGTAGTTCTAGTGTTAACCCTTTGCACTCGACCATTTTTTGGCTAAAGAAGGATAGGCGTTCTAAGATTTTCTACTATAGAGTTGACGATATTTTTCTGAGCATTAAATAAAAAACCTATAATAATTAACGCTTAGAATTATTTGATTTCGATACCTCTCACACTGTTACATTATCTTAAATTTCACGTGTTAATTAGTATCCATGTTCGAAATTTTATCAAATGGTGACTGAAGGGCGTCTCTCGAATTAGGGTTAGCAAAGGGTTAATTATAATTTATTTCGTGTTAGCCCTGCTCCTACAATATTGCATCGGGTGTCGTTTCTCTTTTAATTCATGGTTGCTTATTATTACATGAACGATCCTCGTTTTACGCATCTTTTACCAACGTTGAAGACTGTAAAACAGTTAAAACAGGAGCTTAACAAAATTTTCGAGACATCTTATCTAGTTAGGTAATTCTAGGAAAGGATTGTCATTTATTATCATGTCATTTGTTACGTTATAAATATAATAAGGATATAGAAGACACAGTAAACAATTGATTTTTGCTATTCATAATCTCGCTTCAAAATCTCCCAAAAGTTATGCTATAAGAGAGAACACAAGGAAACTGAACGTTTGGTCAGCAAAAAGGTGTAGTCACCTCTTCTGCGAGTTTAGCCAATGCTCATTACCCAGCGTGCAGTATCGAGCAGCCAGAGCTGGACACGGGGTATCGATTGTTATCCGAGCTCGGCCATCGATGCGGAGTAATTTCACGGTCGGTTCGATGAGCTCGGCTGCGCCAAAAATTCCCTAGCGAGAAATTTCCTAGTAGGACTTGTTGCTGGCCACTCCTCCTCGGACGCGAGGGAATCTTTGCACGTTCGAGACGGCATAGGATCGATAATTGAACGCGTGCACGATCGAGATGGACTCGTAATCATCGGGCATGAGGTTTTAATTGACACTCCAAGGGGTTATTGTCGCGTTTACCACCCCCTCTAGTGTTTTATTTTCCTACACGTTGCGTCACCTTTCTTTCCGAGTTGGGACACTCGAAATAAAGGGAAAAATTGTGCAAAATGTTTCTCGTGAATTTTGTCCCAACTGTTGTATCTCTTCGCGTGTGTATACCTACATAGATGAGATATTTGCGACACTGTGACGTTCGTGCCGCGTTCTCGGCCAGATTTTTCCAGTGTTTTGCAATTTTTGGACTCAATGTATTCTGGTGTAAAAAAGGAAAAAAGATTGTCCTGGAAGGGCAACGTGTTTCGTGTATATTTAGTATTATATATGTAGTCTTCCCACAGTCAAGATAGAGACGTTCCTCGGATCCTTGGACGCCATATTTCACGCGTGTTTTTCGACACCCTCGAGTGGACGTCGTTCCACATGACAGGACAATTTTTCCTCTCAGATTAGATCTCTTCGTTCTTCGTTCACGATCATACATGCAATTTAACAGCATCAGTTTAAAAAATCCTTGGAAAAATATACCGAGATGAAATTTCAACCAAAAATATGAATTTCTAATTCTATATCATATTTTCCCAAGTACCATGATCTCGTAACCCCTTTTTCTTCGTTATTATCCTGTATGTCTGAAATTTCTGTATCAAAAGTCCGTCAAATAATCGCTTAGGTTTCGCCACGCGCATCAATCGTTGCGCCCGAATCCAATTAAAAAGGAGTGCGAGCGGGAAAGGGTGGGGGGAAAAAAGAGGAATGAAAACAAAAACACGTCACGCATGAAATTGCTCGGAATCGCACGCATTGTTCTGACAGTAAAAATATTCCACGAAACGCCTTCGCTGTTCGTCCAAACAGCGCCGTCGTTCTTTGTTCCGGATTGAAAACGAATGCGTGTGTGTGTTTATGTGCGCGCGCGCGCGCGGGTGTACCTGTTGACGCGATCGAATGAAAATCCTGAAAACGCGGCAGTCGTGCGCGATCGGTGACGAAACTGTTAACGTAGATGCATTTTCGCGCGAATGAGCTCGAGAATTCGTCGAATGCCGGAGAATTTCGATGGTTCGACCTGTTGCGCCGTGAGTTTAGTGGAGGGGATGAGGGACCGTCGATCGACCAATCGACGTAGATGTCGCTGAGGTATTCTCGTGCGAAAAAGACTTTAACACGTTCACTGCCACTCGTTTTTCCTACAAAAGCCATAATCAAATTTTAATTAAGTACATCGGATTATTTAATTTTTCGTGATACAGTATAATCATCGATTATGCGAATTAATTGACTACTAGATAGATAAATATGTTCAGATAATTGATCTGAAAGAAGCAAATTTTTAATTGTGTCATAAATCAGTAAGAAATTAAAATGTTTAAATAAATGAATATGTATTTAATAAAAAAAAGTATAGGATAAAAAATAAATTATATATAAATTAATATAAGCATTTTATATGTCCTATTCATTCTTATGCAATACGCACTGTTTGTATAATCGAAATTCGCATAATCGACGTTCGAATAATTGACGTTCCACTATATATTACAATGCAAGATTTTAATTGTTAAATAGCACGTTTTTTATTTTGCATCTTTCTTTATTTATCTCCAATCAAATTTTCAAAAAATGGTTGAGACAGAATAAATATTTGGTAGTCTGATACTGGTGACCATCATGGCGGTCAACGTGTTAATAATAAATTTAGCTGGGTCCAAATGATGGATTTTAATGCAATTTAATGCAAATGGTAAATGAATTTACAAATTTACTGTAATTGATAAATTTAGTAATGAGATAAATAAAATTCTGAATGAGGAATTATGAAATTGTCAGAGTCTAGGTTAGTTCACTGGTATTAGTTGACGAGTTATTGCGCTAGAGGGCACTGCTGCTCGGGAAGATGGAGGCTGTAGTTATTGGAAATTCTTGGTGAGAATTAAGTTCGTGGCAGAAATGAAAAGAAGCTGGTTATTCGAAGACAAGATGATGTAAGATGATCTTTTTTTCCTTTTTTGTTTTGTTTTAGGATTCTTGTTTGGAGAAACTGAGTTTGACAATCTGTTATGTGCATGTGCATTTGGCAATGACCTACTATTGTAGTAGCTTTCTGTGCGAGATAAGGATACTTCCTGAGTAGTATAATTACATTTATTAAATTAATTTGACACATTTTCAAGTGGTGATAAATGTTACTAACACAGGAAATGTTTATATGTATATATATCATAAGTTTCCATACTTTAGAGTGTTTTTAGAAAAATGTATCGAATTACTCTAACGAGCATGAATCTAAATGAACTAACATTTTGCTTAGAAATCACTAACGTTAGTTGAAAGACATTTTTGTTAAGTATAAAAATGTTACATAATTTCCTGTAACATTAGTATGAAAGGGTGTATAAAGCTGTCGAAGCATAATTGTATCGCGTCATAAACGAAGCAAATAAATAAGCAATAAACGTTAAAGATAAGGAATAATTCGTATTAAAATTTGTTTAAGATTATACAACAAATTATATATTCAACAAGAGCTATAAATTCGCGTAATCGTTGATAACCTTTATCGAGAATACACGAAACGAACGAGTTATCGATTACGCGATCATTAGCTGGGCTATTTCCATTCAAAGTAACTCATTGAAAAATTTCTTGGCCGCTCATTTTTTTAATCTGCTACCCATCCGGTTGTTACTGCAAAATTTTTCGACTGTAAAGCAGATATCGTTGTCGGTATTGAACGATATGAGCTGGCGCGTAATTAGTAGGATACAAAGATACTGCAGCAACAATGAAATACATTCTTCGTCAAAGAGTAACATTTCGTATTATTCGAAATTAAATTCGGTAGCTTGTTAATTAAAATAAATTAAATGACCGATACTGTACCAATTTGTAATATTAATCAAATAATAATCTTCACGTTCCGCAGTGACTCCAAGCATTGTTAGTATTCTATTCTCTGCATAAAAATAGAACGCACCGTAATTCCACCCAAAAGTCCATCTAATCATACTCCGTTTCGTTTCATTGCTACCCATTCGTCGATAAAGCCTGCCTTAATATATAATACACTTCGTATTTCCTCCAGCTGCAAAAGTATATTTCCAAAATTTCTTGACACTCGTGACACTTCGTGAAAGTAAAATTCCCTCCCCACGTAGAAATTTACATTCCACCCAGTAGAACACGCGTATCTACCAAACCCAGGCACACAAAGTACCCCCTTAGACGTGGCTAACTCTCACTCGAATATTCCCTTGCAAGACACCAAAGATCAATAGAGACCAGAACTCTCGCTACACGTTGCAAAACACAGCCAATATCGAAGGCAAGCAAAGCATCGGATAAACGAGAGTATAAAAATTCTGCAGCGAGTATCACGATTGCAAACAGTCTCGACCAAAGCACCACGCCACAGTCTTAACTCCCCGCCATTTTTACATGCAACTAGCGCCACCGGCCTGGTCGAGGCCAGGGCCGGCAGAGGGCGCGAAACGAAACGACTGACCCCTCTCATCGGCACCATTCACCGTGTTAATCATGCCCTGAGACCAATTGGCACTTTTAATTTCGGCAGGCGCGCTCATGAAAGACGCGGATAAGCTGAAGCTGATGCTGCTCGCGTGGAATTATAATCTTCAACAGCAGGCTCAGGCTCAGGCCCAGGCCCAGGCACAGGCTCAGGCCGCCAACGCGGCCCTCTCGCCAAATAACTCCTCGACAACCACGGCCACCACCGTTGGCACACCTGTCACCAGCCAATCGGCCATTTCCACGGCAAACAACACCATTAACAACTCCACACTTACAGGTAACACCTTATTTCATCGACCGCGATCGAGCGACCGCGAGCTTCCGGCCGTCTCGACGTTTTTTTTCAGTCAGACAGTTCGCTTCCTCCATGATCGCGGTTAATAAAGAGCGCAGGGGATATTTTCCTTTTTATTTTTTTATTTTTTTCCGCTATTTGCTTGAAAGATCGATTGCTGCAACCGTTGCTAGAGATTTGACGTTTTGGGACGGGTCCTTGGTTTCGTTTGTTGGCGTGGGAGGAATGGAGGGATCCGTCTATTAGCATGAATAGAGGAAGTTGGATTTTTGGTATGGCGTACCTTGTTTTGGTTGATAATATTGTTGCGATATTTCGTTCATATTATTAGTTGTTATTATGTGTATTTTGTGGTTGGTATGGATTGTTTCTTCTTTTCTTTCTTTTAATTTTGCTAATTCAATTGCGTTCCTTTGGAGGGAGGGTAAGTGTCGGATTGTTGGAGCAAAGTGTTGATTATGGTATCGAAGATATTGTGTGTTAATTGATACTTTAAATCATTTTTATTAGGAGTTTTTGTTATTTGACAATTTTTTATTGCTACGAAGCTCAGCTTATTTTATATAAATATAAAATATAATCCTTTCTCACAAAATAATAATCCTTTAGAGTTATTAGAAAATGTAAATTATTTTGCAGTCTGGTTTAAAAATTGAGACTAGAGAAAATTCCAGGTAAATATATACGTAATATTGATTTCAAAGTTTCGTTTAAATATTTCATTGGTCAAATTTTCTTATTCGGTCATAATTATATATATTCGTTCCTAAAATATGTCTTACATACACGCCTTGGTCACTTGGTGTGAATTTGATATTAAATATTGACAGTCTCTTACGTTCTCTCTTGTTTTTAAATATTACAGCGATTACCAAATGAATTCTGCGAATACAAATTTAGGCAGAATTTTACTTTACACTTGCTTGCTCAGCGTTATTTATTTATTATCATACGCTGCTTAACATATATAATATATTTCCCAGAAAATAACTGTTATCAAAAATATTGCAGCTGTTAATATGAAATATAACACAAACTTCCATTACACTTTTCCAAATTACACTATTAAAAAAATGACAATACAAACAACCCAAACAGAAAACAACGCAACTCCTATAAAAGAAATATAATGTATCAAAAATATTCTATATAATTTATTTTTAGAAAAAACAAATCATAATAAATATACAACAAAACGTAACGCTATTTCAAAGTACAAAGAAAAGCCCAGAAAATCGATACCCTTGGTTCTAAAATTTCGCAGTGATAACGAGTCAAAAGTATGCGAAAAATGGTACAAAATTATTTATCAAATATTTTTCCAACGTTATCGGGAGCATAAGGAAGGACACGCTTAATTTCGATCGAGCGACCAAATCGCTGGGCGGAGATTGTAAAGGTTGCCCGCGGCGCAACGGTGGCGCGACGGTCGCGTAAACACGGAGACTTCAACGCTCGAGTTTCGCGTCCTTCTGCGGCGGCCAGTGTATTGCAGGTTTCGCGGGGCCAAGGTGTACCGGCTATTTAGCTCGCGCGAGTTTTGTCGTCGTGGCCGACGTGACTAATGGATTGTCGGGCTGTGACGTGCCACGCAGGAAATTCAGACTGCGCCTTCTTTGGCCCGCGAAACCGAGCCGTTTCAACGACATGCTTCACCCCGTTAATCGACCGTGAGTAACGCCACTAATTAACCGTGCTTCGTTCGTCGTGTCACCCGCGCGTGGCCCGTTTTATCATGTCGTGGACAGATGATGGGGAAATTTGCTTTTTAGTCAGCCTCGAGATTTGTGTACTTAGGCTGCTTAGTATGCTGTTGAGCAATCATTTCCTCGCTTTCTTTCCGCAATTTTCTCTTTTATTTTAGCGCTTTTTGAGATTGAATATATAAATGTCTGCAAGTGTTGAAGGGTTTGAGGTTATGTAGAGAGATATGAGACTTTTATTTTATTTTTGCTTAAATATATAAATTTATTATCTCAGTGGACTGTACTATAAATTACACGTTGAATTCTCTAGTGTTTAATTCAGATGTTCCCTAATCTTGATCAGAAAAAGAGTCATAAATAACATAGGTCAAGATCCACCAACAGTGCGTCATATTTTAACACCATCAACCTTCAGGAACCCTCCTTACCACCTGTTATTACAAGCACCTATCCAACTTCACGTACAGTGAGTCGCAAAAGTATTCTACATACTTTACCAATGTTATCATCCTAATCCAAGTTTCAAAATCCCCATCCACGAAGGTCTTTCATGTATTACATATACAGAGCTCAGAAGCATCAATTTAGACAACATTTCTAAATATTTCGTTTATTACATGCACTTAGTTCAACCAGAAGAAAATTAACAATTACCCTAATTGCTATCTTCTTGCAAAAATTCATTTTTCATCTATTTTGTAATAACTCGGTTGATATTACACGCGTATATCTTCAGCCACGAGAATTTCGAGATGGTAAAGAAACAGTAGTAGTTCGAGGTCGGACGTCGGCGTAGCGCGAATACTTCTATGTCTGACTGTACACGCGAAGAACGTCGGCGAGGCACAAACAAGCGCGGAAGA